TAGGCTAAAGTAGTACAATCAGTAATAACTATAGCATCAAGCTTGGACTAGAAAATGATAAACTGTGATAACTATTAATTTGCCACATTTAACCATATGAACAAAATTTGTAGTTGCATAATAAAATCTAAAACAAACCAGAAAATTATAGACAGTAAATATCCTCTCAGTAGGGTGGTTTTACCCTCACAGGACAAAATTTAAAAGGTGTAAAGACGAACACATAGAGAAATAGAAGAAGAGAAAGAGTAGAAGCAAGTCTGAAGGACAAAGGAAGATTATTCAAGCTTTGGTAAACTGCAGAAGACAGGAGGGAAAGAAAGAAAAAACAGAAATAAGAACAGAACAAAAAACAAAAACAAAAAAATTTGGAAACAATATTCACACTCAAAAACAAGAGCAAACAAGAAAAAAATATATAAAAGAAAAAAAAGGAAGAAAGAAAAAACGAAATTTTCACTTTAGGGTGTTCTCTGTTGTCATTGACAGACAGAGGGAACAGAAAGAGCCTGGATCTGTCTTAGTTGATCCCAGCAAGCCTGCAGTAGAATTACACCAGGGTTGTAGATAATTCCAGAAGCCTGTACTTTCAACTCCACTGAAGTTCAAGGTGATCCTGGTTTCTGCCTAACCATTCAGCCCATGACATTCTGCATGTCTCTTGCTGGCTTTAACTGGGGTCCCTGACCCTGGGTATCTCCCATGGCTGTGCCTCACTGACACTTGAAGCCCTGGGATGGAGCCACCTCACTGTTGTTCTGAGTCCTAGGTTCAGTTGGCCCTTTTCCATAATGCCTGGTCACCTTCTCCTGGGAACATGTGAATTGGGATCACTCACCAGCCACTACAGCCAACAGTGTGCAGTACTCCGTTCCACTGGTGTGTTTGTCTCTGGAGCCTTCTGGAGTGACCTGTAGTCATCATGACTATAGGCTCAAGCTACCTCTTTCATGCAGAAAAGAGAAGCACCTTTTGCCACTTCTCTCTTCTGGGTTGATGTCCCTCTCTTTGCACTTCCCATGGGCTCTATTTCTCAGTTCAGATCCGTGATGGATCCTGGTGACCCCTCTTCTCTTTCCCACATTGCTATATTTCAGCATGTGGACTCCAACTCTCAAAGAGGCTGATTTGCTGCTGGTTACCACTCCACCATCTTCCCAGATGACCCCTCAACAAGCCTCTTTTACAATTAACCTTAATATTTTTCCGGCCATGACTTCTTGTTAGAACTTTTATTCTGATCTCTAGAGGAATGAATAATGGTGTTAGAAAGTTGTTTGACAACTGTGATGTCTACCATTCATTTGGTCACCCGACATTCACTGAAAGTCTTTGTGAGACCTGAGACTATTTTAGACACCTGGGTGGTACAGATGCCTAGAAAATGCTCTCTGTTCTCAAGCTTGTGGGAAAACATGATCTGTAAAAATGATTTCAGTAAAATTGGGGAAGCCCTGACACAGTTCATTGCTAGGATGCTTGAGCAGCACAGAGGAGAAGCAGCGAGTCCAGGCTCTATGCAGCAACAGTTGGAGTAATTGCAACCCCTCTTTAGCTCACTTTCCTTCTCACGTGTCATTGTTTCTCTGTCTCATCACTCTGGCTCTAGCCTCTCTGCCTCAAGTTCTTGTTTTTACACAATTTTTGCTTTTGCATTCTTTTAATCATGAGCACTCTCCCAAACATTTTAAATACATTATCACCTGTAACCCTTATGAACACTGTGAGTTTAAGTATCACTGCTTCCATTTTACCTGTAACAAAACTCAGGTCAGGGAGGTTAGGTCTTTTGCCACAGTTATTAGTTACAGTTGGCAAATTTTACGGCCTTATTGTGAAACCCAGGCTATTTGACTTTAAAAGCCCTGCTCCTAATTTCTAAAGTATACACATTCTTGTAATTTTGTCTCCAAATGAGAAGTTGATAAATCTTCTTAAAGCATAAACTGGATTGAGTTAAGAATATGTTTATAACTTTGAATGGCAAATGGTCATCCCCAGAGATGTGAGGAGATATCCCATTGTGCATTTTTCTAATGAGAAACGTCTCTTCAAATCATGCAACAAGTATTTTTTGAGTACTTACTCTCTTTTCCAGTGACTCTTAGGTGCAAGCAATTCTGATGAGAATTGGATGTTTAAACCTTTGGTTTGTTGAGAGAACACAACCTAATAATCACATAGGTCAATCACTTTTTTTTTTCCCTCATTGAGTTTATTGGTACATTTTAGGTATGCAGTACAGTTACATTCACTATTGGGATCTTGTACCTTAACATGACAGGTCTTGGTTCTCATTTTTTCCCCTTGTCCCTGCCCTCCCTTCACCCCCTCCACCCCTTCCCATTTACAAACATTTTATTTCCGTTTTTTCACTTTCTCCTTTCCCTTATTACCTTTCCCCTACCCTTCCCACTTTTGGTACACCTTTAGCCCTTTTCTTCCTATTTCACATTGTCAGTGATAGCGGGGGTTGCCTCACAGTTTTTTGAATGAAAAGAAGAATGAGTGACTAGATAAATCAAATACACAGCAGTTTTTCTGTTACGTACTTTAACTGTTGGACATAATTCTAGATTTAAACAAATCTTTGAAGTCTATTAATATGAACAAAAGTGGAAAAAAGATTTCTTCTCCAAATAACAGTAATATGTAGTCTTCATAAAATTCTTATCTTTTGAATTTAATATTCTAAGTTTAAATCAGGACTCTATTAAAACTATGAAGTCATCCATTAGGTTCTTTAATATGCTGTGGTTCTTTAAATATGGCAAATGTTTTAAACAGTAATTATTTATAGATTTTCTGAACATTAAGTAACATAAGTGTAATTCAATCTTCACTTCCAGGTTTGAATTTGATCTTTGGTTTGATATTTTAAGACAATCGCTTAAAAAATTCTTTTTGCCGTGTCCAAGAAATACAGTTGCACATTGATTGAAAGATGTTTGGCTGATTGCTAAGATTCTCTTTGTCTTACACTTAGCCCTTGTCCCTTTGATTGTGAATCATAAGAATACATGAATGAAGTGGTAGCTGCTATTTTTCTCATCATGTGTGGAGCCTCCATGGGACATGATCAAGTCAAAATTTGATAAAATTGATAAACAAGGAGTGAACAGAGATGGAAAGTCAGACTCCCGACAATGCTGAGTCTCTGATACAGCCATACCTAAATTAAGACTCACTCTGGTCCTCCTTACTGCCGGTGCCCACACATTTCTTATTTGGCCAAAGTTTCAGTTTGAGTTTCACCATTCTAAAATCAAAGAATCTTGACACATTTCCTCTTCTTTGCTAGCTCTTATCCTCCTCCATCACACCAAACCTTTAGAAAACATCTGCTATTCAAATATCCTTGAATGTGCCTCAGGAATGAAGGTGCAGAGTCTAACATGTACCAGAGTTGTGGGGAGTGAAGCATCAGCAGCAGAGGTGAAAAGGCGGGCTAATGGAGAACTCTGCAAAATTGGGGACATAGAACAAGTTGCCAAGAGGTCATAAATGCCCTCGGTCTTTCTGGAACTGGGAAGACATTAAACCTTCCATGGTTTATGGAATGTAAGGTCAAGTCCTTTTGTTTAGAAATGAAAAAGTCAACAAAGCTCAGATGTCTGGATGGCATGTCCATATTTTTTACTAAGATATATTTAGCTTCTGGGAACATAACATTTTATCATAAATACAGATAAAATTGTTAACTGTAGTAAGGGAAGAAAAATAGGGATGAGGCAGGCTTGCAGATAATCCATAGACTCCTGATAAGGAAAAGGCTGTATCCAGATAGTGCAAGGTACTGTATCCTTTGTTTTCTTGACAATTTTGACTCTGGTAGTAGCACTTTAGTGTTCTTTTGGGGGAATAATTTTATCTTTTTCTAGTGCATAAGATAGGGCTGACCCACACATGGCTCTTGTGGGACCTTGTAATTCAGCCCATTTCAATGAGAGTTTAGCATGCTTGTAACTCTAATAACTGGTTCAGGAATAAGGCTCCAAGGTATACCAACTAAAATAAGACTCAAACCTTTTCTTAGAGTCTTGGAAGAGTAAATTTTTCTACTGCTGAACTAGTCAATGGTAGATCTGCCTGGATCTATCACTAGGGATGGGACTGGGTAAAGCCTCTATGAGAATAAAGATGAAATTAAGAATGTATGGATCCAAGAGATGGAAAAGGAGATTTCTGGCAAAAGTTTTGGAGACTTTTGACACAGCCATATTTGAAATCAGATTCCTTTACCTCTCTTCCTTCTTTTCTCCTTCAGTCGCTTTGAATGTGAAATTCAAACATTTAAAATAACTTTGAGTTTTATACGTTTAAGTGTTACACTTTGCCCGTGAAAGTGGGCAGTTTTGGAGACGACAGACACACAGCACTACCCTTCGTCTTTCAGTATATAGTAGAACACGAGGTTTCCCCACTAGAGGGTGCAATTGACTCACAGCACTAGAAGCAAGCCATGACAGTAAATGCCTGCAAGCCTTTAGAGATATGTTGGGAAAGGCCAGGGTCTTGGTGACAGAGCTCAAATTCCTGACAGTCTATCCTTTTAGAAGGACTAGGAGAGCAGTCAGGTCACCACATCATGGCTATAGCTATAGGAAAGTTGAACACTTTATTTCAAGAAGCATGAAGCTTCCTTAGTCTTAAAAAGGTAAAGGCTGGAACGGCAAAGTGATTTTATCTTTCATGACAAATCTGAGGGCCAACCATGCCTCAATTGCTACGTTGACAAAGATTTTGGGGCTACATTCACCTCAGTGCAGTGTGCTGCCTTTGATTACTGACATCTGTTGTGGGCATGGGGGAGAAGTAAGTAAAATAAAGCAAGAAACAGGATGGTATATTGCTGTTAGCAAGGGCTGTATTTGTCATGTCCTTCATCTAAAGCCCTCCAGGTATACACAAATAGTTGAATATTTATTATTCATTGTAATCTGAGAGATTACACACCCTGGGAACCATAGGACATGTTGACAAGAAAGTATTTTTTGTAGGATTTGGGATCATTACATCAATTTTGAGAAGAGTTTAAGGAAGAGCTTTTTGCTTTGCATGGATGTTCCAAACAGTTGGGAGAAATCTTATGATTGGACATCTTTAAAGGCCTCATTTAGAAGAAAGGATTGTAATTGGGGAAGAAGCAGCAAACATTTATTTTACTCTAGATAAAGGTATGTCTGCTATTTTGTGGCTTGGCTGATTTTCGTTTTTGCCTATGTTCATATGTGACCATGGTGTAGTATTTATGTTGTGATTCATCATAATCACAGAGTGGTTTTGCAGATGTAAACATTTTATAAAATTGTTAATCTTAAACAGGAGAATATCAAAGCCCAGATATAAGTACAGGCCAACCTGTGCCCAGGACAAAGTCAACTTCTGGGTTATCATGGTTTGTTTTTCTCTTCCTCATATTTTATATTGTTTAATAATTGTGTATTTTCTTGCTTCCTTGTTCAATTAGAAACTATACAAGTACAAAAATCTGATTTTGGTTACTACTTAATGCCAAGAGTCTAGTCATATCTTTGAATCTCATAATAACAAACTTATTGAATTAATGACTACATTGTTTAATTAGCCTATTAAACTGTGATTTGATAAATTCAGGAGCTGCTTTCCATTCAGCTTTGTATGTCTGTAATCAAACACTGATCACCTATGTCTCATTAAACATCCCAAGTCAAAGGAGATTTCTATAGGATAATATTTATTGATTAGAAAAAATAAGACAATACAATGAATTCAGCTTTATGAAGGAAAGGTGATGCTTAGTTCAAATGGTTTCACTCATGATGAATGAAGAATACTCATATCATATTCAAGTTTTGGGGGGGTTGTTGCATACTCCTCTGTGTTGAATTGTAAGAGTATGATTCAGAGCTCTAAGAGAAATTGATATAAATATTTAGAGATCATTTGTATGAAATATAACCCTTTTTTCCTCTTAGTCTAGATGCATTATAATAGAGATTTTAAGGGAACAGAGACCTTGATTTGTAAACTCTTGACTTACAAACAGCCCACAGCTATAAAGATTTTCCTCTCAGCTCACCACACCCTATTACCTGGGAGGCCCTGTTGCTTTGTAATCATGGTGAAAAACTATTGGAGCATTTAGTAAATGTGTAAACCTATATGTTAAGTAGAGGGAGGTAAATTAATGGTTTGCTGAGACACATCAGAGAAATCATTTTGCTGTGTGTGTAAAAGGCTCATAATTTTGGGGAGCTACTGTCATGAGGCTCACCTCAGAGTTGCTCTATGGGCTGCAATAGCCCTAATTGCCAAGAATAGCTCCCCTTATGAGTTATGATAGTTGGATAAATTCCTAAATCTCTCTCAGTTCAGTTTCACCATCTATAACACGGGAAGTAGTACCAATACTAACTTTATAACATTGTCCTAAATATTGAATGAGGTTAGTTCTATGCAGCACCAAGCACAATGAATGGCATATAATAAATGCTACTCCAAAATAAGGTGTATTTATAGTTCAAAAATACTTCTAATCATATTTTCCTTTTTAATATTTTATTTTTATTAATATATTACGAATATATTTTATTAAAACTTGCTCATGCTATATTTACTACCTAATATCTTCCCTTATAACTTAATATTATATCATGATTATATTTAGAAAATTTGACATGTAATGTCTAGTGAGATATTTTAAAAAGTATACACAAGACTGAGAATGGAGGTCAGTGGTAGAACACTTGTCTAGAATGTGCAAGACCCTGGGCTTGATCCCTCACACAGCAAAAATGAAAAGTAGGAATATAATATTTGGTAGCAAAAGCAGGAATATGATATTTGGCTCAAAAAGGATGTTTTATGCAAAACATAGAACCAGAGATCTTGGCTGTGCTTAGGTGTATCAGCCTTGATTGTGCCAAGATGCAGAAACAAAGTACCAGGCAGAGTTTAAACAGGCCTGAACGATGGCAGGAGTTGGTGCAGCTAGAGTAAAGGTACACTTGGCCCTTTACCTTACGATGAAAATGACCCACCCCCAGTTTGGGAATCCTTTGATGGCCTAAGAAGGAAGTAACTAAAATGGAATACACTCAGCCATAAAGAATGAGAAAGTAGAGAGATTTATAAAATGGATGCACATTGAGCTCATACTCTTAAGTGAAATTAGTAAGCTACAAATGTGTAAATACCAAACAGTTTTTCTGGTGTGAAAAAGTAAAAGTGTAAATAAAGATCATGTATAATTGATATTGTGTAATAGGAAGAAAAGCCTAAAATGGTAGAGGAAGTGGGAGGGGTAGAGGAAAAGTGAAAAGGGAAAAGAAAAAAATATGTGGAAAGAAAAAACACAGAAACAATATCTTTGTAAACAAGGAAGGGTGGAAGGGCTGAGGGGAGGGCTGGGGAATGGGGAAAATAAGAACCTGCTAAGTCATGTATAGGTACAAGGTCTCAGTGATGAAGGTGACCATACTGTATGCCTGATATGTACCAGTAAATTTAATAAAGATAAAATAAGAATGTAACTAGGCTAAAAGAGGTAAGTGTGACATTTGGGATGTCACATAATTCTTACGTATGAACTCCTTCTGAAATGGTAGGCATGAGAACCAGAAGGGATCTCTCAACTGGCTTGAGACAAGAAGAAGGTAGGCACTGTTGCATAAGTGTACTAAGCATCGGGAATGCCATAGACAAGGATATTTAAGTGGCAGCTCCATGATGGCAAAGAGCAGCTAGCTTTTATTTAAGAAATCTGCACTTCTTTCAGTTATCTTTGAATATGGTAGAAATCTTGGGAAAAACAGGATATCTTGCCAGTAAAATCTATGGACATTGGCACATTGATATTTATTACATTACTATACACAGTAACACAACTGCATTTAGTAACTGTTTCATAGGAAGTATTAATTGCAGATAGTATACTAAAAATCATTGAAATTATTATGAGAACATTTAATTTTTTCCCTAGTATTTTAGTCTAGAATGATTATGCTGAGTAGATCTTTACATTATTCTTGGACAAGACCTTTAATAAGGAATTCACAATAGCCAAATAAACTGTAAAAGAGCAAACTTGAAGAACTTGTACCTCCTGACTTCTAAATTTAACAGTAAAAACCTACAGTAATAGAGATATTGTGGTATTAATACAGAAGAAACATTGATTAATTGAACTGAAAGTCCAAAAATGAACCAAATTGATTTTTTTAAAAAATGCTAATCTAGTTCAACAGGGAAGGAATATTTCTTTTAATATGCTACTGGAATAGCTACACACAAAATAATGAAATTGTGTCCCTTTCCTCATGCTACAGATAAAACAAACAAGAAAGAAAAACCTATCCTCCCAAACCCCCAAAATAACAACAGAATAATCTGAAGATGGACACAAAACCTAAATGTAAGCTCTAATGCTGTAAACTCAGAAGACATGGGTAAATTTTCATAACTGGGTTAAGCAATGGTTTCTTAGCTGGGACACCAAAAGCACAACAGTAATAGATAAACTGGACTTCACCAAAATAAAATTGACTGTATTTCAGAAGACATCATTATTAAAGTAAAAAGATAGCCCACATAAAGGGAAAAATGATTGGATATAAACATTTGATATGGAACTTGCATCCAAAACGCATAAAGAACTCTTACAATGTAGCAGTAAAAGGACAGTCTGATTAGAAATTGAGCAAATAATTTGAATAAGCACTTCTCTGAATAAGATATATAAAATGAGAGTAGGTCCATTAAACCATATCTAACATTATTATTAATTAAGGAAATACAAGCTGTAACTATGAGATACCACTTCATACCCATTAAGGTGGTTACCATAGGGAAGATGGATATCATAAAAAAGATGGATACTAACATGTGTTGGTGAGGATGTGGTGCAATTGAAACCCTCAAATATTGTCAGTTTTGTTTTAAAGATTAGAAAGTGCTCTAGAATCCAGTTTGGCAGCTCCTCAAAATGTTTAACCTAGATTTACTATAAATCCTAGTGATTTACTCATAGGTTTACAGTTGTGGAAAAACAATATGTATACAAAATACCTTGTATACAAACATCATCATAATGAAAGTTGTAAAACTGCAAATACTTTAAAGACCTCAAGCTGTATACTTCAAAGGAATACATTTATTATTTACCCTTCTATTGAAATTAAAATCCTAAGGATAAAATTTTAACACTAAGAGGGTTTTATTTCCACATTAATCCCTGTCTCTTTCTTAATATTTATCATAACTCCAAATATTTTGAGATCTCGGTGAAGGGGTAGACAGTAGACTTGAAGCAGAGATGAAAGTGGAGAGCTAACCCTAAACTTGGGAGAAGGAGTAGGTATCCTTGTCCAGCACAATTGCTCTGCTTCCCAGGGAATCCGTCGGTGTGAACCACTGCATTATGACCACAGTGGAGGTCACTGGGAGGCCTATCAGGTGAACGTCTTGGATGATCTGAAAGATACCGCTGTCCTGGCTCAGCGTAAGAATGGTGTAGGTTGTCTGATCTGAGGGGAAGAAAGAGTAATCATGGACTGGACTCTACTAGAGGGTAGTGAATATGAAGGCATGGTGATGGTAGGGTGGCCAACCATTGTGGTTTGTCTGTGACTGCTCTATCTTGCTACTCAAAGTCCCGTATCCCAGGAAAACCCTTCGTCCCAGGAAAGTTGCTTGATTGGTTCTCTACTTGGTAGCAACACAGTGTCATTCATTCTGTTATTTATTGAGGGCCTGTTGTGTGACAGGCACTGTACTAAGCCTTCTTTCCACGTTATCTTTTTAAATCCACATAGGTGACCTCGAAGGTAATTCCAGAGCTTGAGCCATCCGTTCTAAACCACATTGTGTTTTAGCAGAAAAGCTGGGATTCCAATGCAGCAGATAGCTACCTTCTGACTTCATGAGCTTAAATGTGGTAAAAGGACAAAAATAAGCACATATTTGGAGTTATGATGAATATTAAAAAGGAAAGAGAAGGGAATGAATGTAGAAAATACCAGCAGTGAGTTTATTGTAGATAGGATTGTCAAAGAAGACAACTGATGCACTGTACATTTAGGCTGAAACCTAAATAATGGAAAATGCCCTGGCCTTGAGAAGCGCAAAAGCAAAACACCGTTGTCAGGGAGAGCAGCTTGTACAAATTTCCCAAAGCAGGAAAGAGTTTCATATGTTT